GCTAGAATCAAACAATGGTGCAAACGATCCACCGGAACAAATAAGATACCGAACGAACCCTAATTGCGTTTTGCATTCGCCAATAAATCCAGAATTACAAAAGCTTACCCCCCCAGTCACTAGAGGCGCTGAAAACTTATAGACAGGTTCTCAACACGGCACTTACCTTTCTAAGGGGGGATGTTTTGTGACATTGAATGACACATAAAAAAAGGGTTTGTGTGCCTCTTGTCGGCCATTTTAATTCAAGTTTGACAGCATCTTGGATAGTTCTATACCTACGGCAATGACAGGGATTGTCATATTTGACAAAAATCGATTGTAGAGAAAAGACCGATTTACGTAAAATAGCGAAAAATGACTAGACCTGTCAGTCGGGTGTCCCACTTTTTGTGCTCATGACTGTACATTGTTTGCGTAGACAGTTGGACTGGGCTAAGCGAGGGGCTAAGTCATCCACATAAATTGAAATGACGTCACTGAGACGGAGACCTTGTATTCGCAATAATCTTGCATTTTTATAAAATTCTTCTGGAAAGTTCTTGGAAATATTCTCGAAAATTCTTGGAAATATTCTTTTGAAAGTTTTTGATTGAAAGTTCCCGGAAATATTCTCATTCAGGAGAACGTTTCCATTTTTTATCAGCGAATGTTCTTGGAAATTTCCCAATGTTCGCGAATATTCGCATGGGAATATTCTCGATTCACATCACTAATTATGATTAATGCTTATGAAATGAATTCCTAATAACTGGCACGAATGGGTTGTAGAAAAAAGTGATATTTAGCAATTATCCAGTCCTCATAACTAAATAAATAGCCTGATAAATAGGTACTATTTTTTATCAGTACTTAATTCATTATGTAACATAATTGATACTAGGTACAATATTTTAATTTAAAATGTGAAAGTTTTTATCGGTGGAATAATAGGAACTTTTTTGATGTCGCCAGCAATCCATTTAATTCAAAATATCCTTGTGACCAGCAGCAAAATTGTTACAGTCCACCAGTTCATTTTACTGGTGATGAATATTTTAATTTTATTATTATTATTATTATGGGTATCTGCAGTAGACGGAATAAATCCAATGAAACTGCTGAATCTATTTGAGTTGTTGTTTAAAGATTAGAGATTTTTGGGAAGTCATGCGTTGCTCTTGCCAAAAGAGTCCTCCTGAAACTTAGTTGCCTCAGACGGTATAGTGCACAAAGAACGTTGTGCTTTGGTTCTTCATTTCTTGGTCTAAATGGTTTTTGAACTGGTTCTTTGTTGTTGACGTGACAGTGTTGGTACCAAGACTGTTCCAGAGATGTTTGTTAGAAAGTTTCTTCTCATTAGCTTGTTACATTTCTCCTTGGAAAGCTTTAGATTGTGTCCTCTGAGATTGATGTTTTGGTTGAGGTGGTAGATCTCTCTTAAGTCACATGCATAAGGCCCATTCACTATTTTAAAAGTTTCAATGAGATCTCCCCTCATTTTTCTATCTTTTAGGGTGGTTAGGTCTAGCTGGGTTAATCGTTCCTTGTTCATGAAGGTCTGAAGGCAGCTCAGTTATTCTTCGTTGTACTCTCTCAATTTGCTCTATGTCTTTAGCATAGTAAGGATTCCAAATAGTATGTGCATATTCCACTCTTGACCTGACATATGATTTATGTAGCTTTAGTATCATATCTTTGGAGAGGTCTTTAAATCATTTTTGTATGAGGTAAATCATTTGCTTTTTTGGTCATTTGCATGATGTTAGTTTTCCATTTCAAGTCCTGGGTTACAGTGATTCCTAGATCTCTCTGTTGTATGACAGGTGTTATTTGAAACTGTTCAAAAAAGTAATTCAATTTAGGATTGTTCTGGCCAATATGTAGAACTGTGCATTTGGAATCATTCAAAGGCATTTTCCATAGCTGTGTCCATTCTGTGATATTGTTTAGGTCTCTCTGAATAGAGAGAAAGTGGATTTCCATAAATGTTTCCATCGTCGGCAAAAGCTGCATTTCTTGTTTGCAGCCCTAGATATAGATCACTTAAATAGGCAATAAAGAGTAGAGGAGCGAGAACTGATCCCTGTGGTACTCCACTATGCACTCTGGTCTTTTGAAAGTGTTGGACCCATACACACCTGAAAAGTTCTTCCTGCGTGAGAAATTCTTTGATCAAATTGCCCCCAACTCCGACGTGTTCAACTTTATGGATTAGGAACTGTGTTGGTAGTTTATCAAATGCTTTTTGGAAGTCAAGATAAATTACATCGATTGCTTTGTGGTTGTCATCTGACAGTTTCCAGTGGTTGAGTCTTGTTAGAAGATTTGTAATCATCGATTTCCCAGGAAGAAAGCCGTGCTGCTGATCTGGTATGACTCGTGTGTCCATGAAAAATTGGGTGAGCTCTTTTGCGATTATTTTCTCCATACATTTGCACAGTGTACTCGTTAAACTATTAGGTCGATAGTTTACTGCATGCTGTTTACTTCCATGCTGCAGGGAATTCTCCTGTTCTTGCTATGTTATTAAGCATGTCAGCTGGTGGCCCTTTTAGCACCTTGATACAGTTCTTGAGGAAAACAGGAGGGATTTCATAAAGCCCTGGACTTGATGATAGTTTAAGTGATTTTACTGCAGTTTCAACTTTTTCCGGAGTGAACACTATATACTTGGCTGTAGCATATGCATATGGTAGTGTGGGCAGAACCGTATTCTAGTTGAGCACTGTGAAAACTTTCTCAAACTCTCCTGCAAAACACTCTGCAATATCTTGATTCGATGTTTGTGGTCTTGTGTTATTTTATCAATTAGGCTAGATTTGTGACGTTTTGTGTTGAGGGTGCGATTTATGTAGGCGTAGAATTGTTTACTATTATCCAATAGGTTATGTTCATAGGTTTTTCTAGCTGATGCTATGCATGCCTTGGTCTTGTTGCTTTGTTGCTGGTATTTTTGGTAGCTTGCTTCTGTTTTGTTACTTCTATATGTATGCAAATAGTCTCGTTTTCTTTGGATCTCTTTGAAGACTTCCCTGGTCAGTCATGGTTTTTGTGTATTTATTTTTTGAGGCCTGATTGGAATGTAGGTGGTTATTGCTATAGTCAATACTTCATAAAACTTCTCAGTAGTCATTGGATTTGTTACTTGCTGTAAATGTTGCTGTAGGCTATTGCCTCTTGTAGACTTTGTGTGTTGGCTGTGCAGTAATCTGGAGCTGCGATTTGGTTGTGATGACTATGTGATCACTTTTCCCCAGTGGTGCATGATGTTGTATGTCAAATACAAGTTTCTTCTCATTAACTATTAGTGGGTCCAAGAGTGATATTTCGTCGTTTCTGAACCTAGTTGGGAAGTTTACAAGTTGATGTCCACGGTGGTTCTTGTAGCTTTCCAAGAAGGCATGGCTGCACTGGTTGTGGGGGTGCACTTCCAACGCATTCCAGTTGATTTCTCGGTAATTGAAATCTCCCATGATATAGACAGGCTGTTGAAGGGCCATAGCTTTTTTGATAGTCTGTATAAGATCCTGGTTTTGTTCTTCTGTGGTCTTTTGCTTTGGCCTATGCAACATGCAACTTGTATTGTGCCCGGCAATGTTGTTTTTGACATACACACAAATACCTCCTCCTCGCGTTCCTCTATCTTTGCGGAACATCATAAAGCCTGGTATGTGCACAATGCTATCGGGTATTTGATTGGTCAGCCATGTTTCGGTAATCAAGATGATAGTTGAATCTGTGTGTTGTATGCTTATTTTCAGTTCGTCCAGTTTATTTACCATAGAGCATAGGTTACTATACCAAAAGGAAACCTGAATAAATGATTCAATTTGTTTTTTGAATCCTTATTTCCCTTGTTGTGAGAAGAAACTATTCTTGGTACATTATTAATATATCTGAGCCTTATGTTTACTTCCCCCTTTGACTTACGTTCGTCGAAATCTTTGAGAACAGCTTTCAGGTGTGTTCTCTGGAGAGGTGTTTGATCCGCTTCGAAGTATATATTCTCTTCATTGAGGTTATTTTTGTTTCTTAGAATTTCCCTAGTTACCGTAGGTGAAGAAGTTATTATCCGGATTGGCCTTACTTTGCCTTGAGCGGGTGCTCAAAGCCGATAAACTTTGATTTTGTGTTTTTCAATGTTGTTTTTAATTTTAAATGCAAAATCACAATGTCTTATTTTAAATGAAAGCAGATTTAGAGTTGGTATTGCCAATCTTAGAAGAAACTTTTAATAATCTGATTTGTAGGTTTTGTAAGCTCCCTGATTGCATCTATGTTGCATTCTAGCTGGCATTATATTTCCAATAATGGCGATTTTAGTTGTTTCAAATTCAAAATTTTCACCAACTGCAGTGGGAAATTATAAAACTTGCTTGAGAAATTAGTCAATATTTGTATTTATTTGTACTGGGTGTGTGTTTATAGCTGAAACACTCAATAACTTTCTTATTATTGAAAATAAAGGGCATGTCTAAGTTGGAAATTTTTTTGGTAAATTGCAACCTTAAGGGCGGGTATTATAAAACTGCTTTGACAGTTAACTTGAAGTTAACTTTTTCAATTACATGTATTTTCAAAAGTTAACTTTAAGTTAACTCTCAAAATAGTTTTATAATACCCGCCCTAAGCGAAACACAACGATATTTTTTTTCGTCATAGGTATACAGGGTGCGCTAAAAAGGTTTTTTTTTTAATGGAACGCCCTGTATATTTTTGTTCTCCAAATAGTGTTTGATATTTTTGTGAAGCTAATTTTCTCAGAATTTTAAAAATGCAAAAATAGACGTTTTATTTAAAAATAAATGACTTTTTTTAGCACCCTGTATACCTATGGCGACAAAAAAAATCGTTGCAATTTAACAAGAAATTTTCCAATTTAAACACTCCCTCTATTTTCAATAATGAAAAAGTTACTGAGTGTTCCAGCTATAAACCAACACCTCAATAAACCTACTAATTTGTAGCTGTAGTTACTTTATAAAATTCCTATCCAAGTTTAATCTTTTTTTTTCCAGACAATATGCCAAAAGCATTGAAAGGTGGAAAGCCTAAAGTGACATCCAAGGAGAAGCAAAAACTCAAGAAAGAGTATCAGGAAACGCAGAAGCAACTGAAAACTATTGTATTTCCAGCGCTAGCGGTGGTTTTCCTGTTCATAGTAGCATATGTTTACATGAAAACAAGGCCTCTCAGAGGCAACTTTGACTGAATAAACTTCTAAATTTGTAAATATTATATCATAATTACTCCTAAATGTTTTTGTTTTGTACAAAATAAATAAATAATTTTAATATTTTTTTTAAACATGAATTGCACACAACACTATTTTTCTTAGCTAGGTTTTTGAGGTGTCATCTGAGATTTTCAGCCTGAGTGAAGTTGAATTCAGGATCAGGGTTGGTTTTTTCTACAAACGTCACTAAAAGTGTCATTTTTAACAGATGCTGTCAGTGTCTAAAAGGCCATTTTATGACACTGGTGTTAAAAGTGATTACTTTTAGCACTGAGTGCTAAAAGTAATCACTTTTAGTGCGTTTGTAGCCCAAACCTATCATAAAAATGAGCAATCGAGGAAGAATACATTTCGTGCTCTACTTGAATTTTTTGGTGACGCAAAATCGACCTACCGAGAGGACAATTTGCATTGTGGTCCAAAAATTCGAGCAAACTCGATTCGTAGCGACCATCAAAACCCCTCATGCTCGTAGAGGTCGATTTTGTGTCACCAAAAAATTCAAGTATAGCATGAAATGTATTCTGCCTGGATCGCCCATTATCATTATAGGTTTGGATAATTTTGACGCGTTGTTTCGTGATGTATCACTAATTTTGTCCATGTTTCTAGATTAGAAATCTCCCATTGCCATTGACAAATACAGCGGCGTTCCAAAAATATTTGAGATTGTAATGTGGAAAGGAAACTCAATTTGAATCACCCTATAGAAACAACGAATTTCATTCATCTCAACATTAATATTTACAGTATTTATGTAATGTTTGTTTCACGAGGGTTTGTACTTTTGCCTTCCTTTTTTAACAAATGAAAATTGACTGAAACAAATCAACGTCGTCGAGAACCTTTGTCGGTTTTTAAACCAGAAGTCATTAAATACAATACAAAATCGGAACGCTATTGAATTTATATGAATCAATCTACGATAAACCTTTTTTTCCAAGTTAGGGCATTAATTATTGATGTCATAAGACAAACCTTTGTGAAATGAACCTCAGGTACTTACTATTTACTGCAAAGGACAAACCACCTAGGAATTATTTGCCAAAAATGTGAGGAGTTTAGAAGAATTTATGGGGAATTTGAAGAAACTCATCGGAATTTATGAGAATTTGGGAAATTTATAGGGAATTCGGAAAAGTTTATGAGGAATTTGTGAGGAATTAATGAAGAATTTAAAGGAAATTGTAGAGTCATGACGTCACTGAGGTTCACATTCTTATTATAAGAAACACTAATAAATGGAAATTTTAAACAAAATCTAGTTTTGTAATGAACGTTGGACATTCATTTTCATTAAAGAAATTCTCCCAAAATTACACTTCATGCTTTACAGGTACAAATTTTTAAAATTCAAAACAATAATGTTTTTGTAGGCTAATTTCCAGGATTCTTCATGTTGTTATTTTCCACTGGAAAAATTTGAAATTTTGGGAAAATGAGCTTCTAACCTTCCTCTTCTCTTGCAAAAATTTTCAAATTTTTCCTTTCACTAGTTTTCCAGGAAAAATTTGAAATGTGTGAGACGTTATTATCAACTAATTCAGTTTTTGACAGGTTGATTTCCAAGATTCTTAATGTTGTTATTTTCCACTGGAAAAATTTGAAATTTTGAGATAATGAACTATTCACCATCCTCTTTACATGTAAAAAGTTTCAAAATTTTACCTTCACTAGTTTTCTAGGAAAACTTTGAAATAAGTGAGACTGTATTTTTAATTAATTCAATTATTGAAGGTTGATTTCCAAGATTCTTCATGTTGTTATTTTCCACTGGAAAAAATTGAAATTTTGGGAAAATGAGTCTCTGACCTTCCTCTTCAAATGTAAAATTTTTCCAAATTTTCCCTTTATCAGTTTTCCAGGAAAACTTTAAATTGTGTGAGACTGTATTAACAATTATTTCTGTTTTTGTAAATTGAGTTCCAAGATTGTTCATGTTGTTATTTTCCACTGAAAAAATTTGAAATTTTGGAAAAATGAGCTTCTCATCTTTCTCTTCACATACAAAAAGTTTCAAATTTTTCCTTTCCCTAGTTTTCCAGGAAAACTTTGAAATGTGTGAGACTATTTTCAATTAATTCAGTTATTGTAAGTTGATTTTCAAGATTTCTCATGTTATTTTTTACTGGGAAAATTTGAAATTTTGAGAAAATTAGCTTCTCATCATCCTCTTCACATGCAAAAAGTATCAAAATTTTTCCTGCACTAGTTTTCTAGGAAAACTTTGAAATGTGTGAGATTGTATTCTCATCTAATTCAGTTATTGTAGATTGCTTTCCAAGATTCCTCATGTTGTTATTATCTACTTGAAAAATTTGAAATATTGAGAAAATGAGCCTCTAACCTTCCTTTTCTCTTGCAAAAATTTTCAAATTTTTCCTTTCATTAGTTTTCCAGGAAAAATTTGAAATGTGTGAGACATTATTATCAACTAATTCAGTTTTTGACAGGTTGATTTCCAAGATTCTCAATGTTGTTATTTTCCACTGGGAAAATTTGAAATTTTGGGAAAATGAGCTTTTCACCATCCTCTTTACATGTAAAAAGTTTCAAAATTTTTCCTTCACTAGTTTTCCAGGAAAGCTTTGAAATGTGTGACTGTATTTTCAACTTATTCAGTTTTTGTAGGTTCATTTCCAAGATTCTTCATGTTGCTGTTTTCCACTGGAAAAATTTGAAATTTTCGGAAAATGAGTTTCTCCATCTTCCTCTTTACATGCAAAAAGTTTCAAAATTTTCCCTTTACTAGTTTTCCAGGAAAACTTTGAATTGTGTGAGACAGTATATCACACGTATATAAAGTTAGCAGTGCAAAGTCAGCAGTGCAAAATTTTTATGACTGGAAAAATTAGTGCTAATTAAGTGCTAATTAAATGCCAAGTTCACAAATTTTGTGCTCTTGTAGTTTCCGAGATATGGCCTGCACTGCTAGCTACCCGTTAAAGATAGCAGTGCACCATCCAGGAATAATCCAGGAAAGTGGTAGGGTGATATAAATGATGAAGAAAATTAAATGCTAATTAAATGCTATCATTTCCATGAACAAAATCTCTATTTTCAGTTTTTTTTCGAATATTTTATAAAAGCAACGCTGTGCACTGCTAGCTTTATGCAGTACACATATTGAGTTTTCATGAAAGGAGGGATTGGTAGAGTTTTCGACATAGGAATAATTTAGTGCTAATTAAGTGCTAATTAAATGCCAAGTTCACAAATTTTGTGCTCTTGTAGTTTCCGAGATATCGCCTGCACTGCTAGCTACCCGTGAAAGATAGCAGTGCATCATCCAGGAATAATCCAGGAAAGTGGTAGGGTGATATAAATGATGAAGAAAATTGAATGCTAATTAAATGCTACCATAATCATGAACAAAATTTCTATTTTCAGCTTTTTTTCGCATATTTTCTTAAAAACAACGTGGTGCACTGCTAGCTTTATGCAGTACACATATTGAGTTTTCATGAAAGAAGGGATTGGAAGAGGTTTCAACATAGGAATAATTTAGTGCTAATTAAGTGCTAAATAAATGCCAAGTTACCAAATTTTGTGCTCTTGTAGTTTCCGAGAAATAGCCTGCACTGCTATAACTGTTAAAGATAGCAGTGCAGCATCCAGGAAAGTGGTAGCGTGATATAAATTATGAAAAAAATTAAATGCTATTTAAATGCTACCATTTCCATGAACAAAATTTCTATTTTCAGCTTTTTTTCACATATTTTTTTAAAAACAACGCGGTGCACTGCTAGCCTTATGCAGTACACATATTGAGTTCTCATGAAAGAAGGAATTGGGAGAGTTTTCGACATAGGAATAATTTAGTGCTAATTAAATGCCAAGTTACCAAATTTTGTGCTCTTGTAGTTTCCGAGATGTAGCCTGCACTGCTATACCCGTTAAAGATAGCAGTGCACCATCCAGGAAAGTGGTAGCGTGATATAAATTATGAAAAAAAAATTAAATGCTATTTGAATGCTACCATTTCCATTAACAAAATCTCTATTTTCAGCTTTTTTTTCACACATTTTTTTTAAAACAACGCGGTGCACTGCTAGCTTTATGCAGTACATATATTGAGTTTTCATGAAAGAAAGGGTTGGTGGAGCTTTCCACTTTAGAATAATTTAGTGCTAATTAAGTGCTTATTAAATTCCAAGTTACCAAATTTTGTGCTCTTGTAGTTTCCGAGATATGGCCTACACTGCTAGCTACCCGTTTAAGATAGCAGCGCACCATCCAGGAATGATCCAGGAAAGTGGTAGGGTGATATAAATGATGAAGAGAATTAAATGCTACCATTTCTATGAAAAAAAATTCTATTTTCAGATTTTTTCGCATATTTTTCTAAAAACAACGTGGTGCACTGCTATCTTTAACGGGTATAGCAGTGTAGGCGTTATCTCGGAAACTACAAGAGCAAAACATTTGGTAACTTGGCATTTAGTTAGCACTTAATTAGCACTAAATTATTCCTATGTCGAAAACTCTTCCAATCCCTTCTTTCATGAGAACTCAATATGTGTACTGCATAAAGCTAGCAGTGCACCGCGTTGTTTTTAAAAAAATATGCGAAAAAAAGCTGAAAATAGAAATTTTGTTCATGGAAAAGGTAGCATTTAAATAGCATTGAATTTTTTTCCTATTTATATCACGCTACCACTTTCCTGGATCATTCCTGGATGCTGCACTGCTATCTTTAACAGGTATAGCAGTGCAGGCTATATCTCGGTAACTACAAGAGCACAAAATTTGGTAACTTGGCATTTAATTAGCACTAAATTATTCCTATGTCGAAAACTTTTCCAATCCCTTCTTTCATGAAAACTCAATATGTGTAGGTACTGCATAAAGCTAGTAGTGCACAGCGTTGCTTTTAGAAAATATTCGAAAAAAAGCTGAAAATAGAGATTATGTTTATGGAAATGGAAGCATTTAATTAGCATTTAATTTTCTTCATCATTTATATCACCCTACCACTTTCCTGGATGGTGCACTGCTATCTTTAACGGGTAGCTAGCAGTGCAGTCCATATTTCGGAAACTACAAGAGCACAAAATTTGTGAACTTGGCATTT